GTTATATATTGAGATTCATGAAACGTAATCATTTTAATTATTTGCAATTTGTTCAATTTTTCCACCTCATAAAATGATATGTAATCCACAAAAGAGATAATTATTATGTAATCCACAAAAGAGAAAAATTCAATCAATTTTGAGAACATAAAAAATAAACAGTTCTCACCCTATATTAAATGCAGGAGTAGAAGAACCAAATGCTGGGGCACTGAAGCCTGGAGTTGGAGCAGCTTGTGGTGCTGTCTGTGCTCCAAATACAAAAGTTGATGTCTGTGGTGTTTGGGCTGTAGTGGCACTGCCAGAATCATTCTGTCATAAAAAAAAATACTGGTTAACATTGGAAGCGTAAATTTTGTTCTCAAGTCATTCAATATTTGTTTGTTTCAAGAGGATAAGAGAATTGACAACACTTTCATTTCACAGTTTTCTTAATTACAACTGAAATACAGTTCAGGGAAAAAGATGCCATAGGCTATAACACGCCTGTTTCCCAATCCCTTTGAGTTCTTGAAAAATTAATAATAATACTTTATTTATATAGCAGAACATACAATAAATGAGTGATTAATGCACTTGATACAAAATATTGTTTATAAATAAAAAAAAACAAAAAAACTAATGATTTTGGTCAAACATGCAAATACTTACAGTTTTAGCATTAAATTGGAATGTGCTTGCTCCAGTTCCACTTCCAAAACTTAAATTAGGCGTTGCATTAAAGTTAAAACCTGCAACACAAAACCCGAAAAAACATTACTATATCTTTAATGAAAGTTTACTGTTCATAACTTTAGCTATATTTGGATATATATTTAGTGAGCCCAGTCATTTGTGGTCAACAAATCAACCAGACATACATTAGGACACTACATCAACACTAATCTTATTATGCACTTGTGGATAATTCATGTCCTGCTTTCAATCAAAGGCATAATTATTTGATAAGACAAAAAAAAAAACATTCATGAAAATTAAATAATAGAAATCCTCACAGAATGACTATAAAGAACCTTACCAGCATTATTTGTGGCTGGGGCACCAAACGCAGTTGTGTTACCAAATGATGGTGTTTGACCAGCTGCTCCAAAAGCTGGTGTTGCACTACTAGCTCCAAAAGCTGGCGTTGGTTGATTTGAACCAGATGTAGATCCATTGCCACCAAAACTCCCAAAAGCTGCAGGGGCCCCAGAAAAGCTGTTATTAGCATTACCAAAACTAGATGTAGAGTTGTTGTTACCAAAAGCTGATGTTGTATTACCAGCTCCAAAACTTGGTGCTGTCGAGTTACCAGTTCCAAATGCAGGTGCTGTTGATGTGTTGCCGAACGTCATAGCTGGGGTGATAGAGTTGCCAGAACCAAAAGAAAACACAGTTGAAGGCTGAGCTTTAGTCTCCTCTGGCTTAGCATTATAGTTGAAACCAGTATTACCACCAGCGTTGAAATTAAATGATGGTGTTTTATTTTCAGGTTGAACAAGGGCTGTAGGTTTTGCTACAAAGTAAAAAGACATGTTATATATAAATATATATTGAAATATCAAAATATATGTTATTGATATATAAATTTCAAAAGTTTTCCATGAATTTTTATCATATTGGTTATCAGCTGCAATTTCCAAATACAGAAAACATTTGAATAGAAGGTAACTTGTATTGGCATATTCTGATGAAATTAAGTAAAAGATAGCTTGCCAGGCAAGGTAACATACGCCCATTGGCAGCTGTCAGAAATGATTAAACAGTCTTTAGTGACTACAGGGTTGCACAATATAGCTAATAGAGTGAAACGTCAAGTCAGACTCGATATTTCGGTGAAATATTATCCGATCATCGCGAAAATCGATAGGGATCATCTTCATAATAACATTGACATACAAAACAAAAATCAAAAGAATCTGTAAAAAATTGTAGCCTGTAGAGTGAGCACAAGTTGCACATATATAGCTAATAGAGTAAAACGTCAAGTCAGACACGATATTTCAGTGAAAAATTATCCGATCATCACGAAAATCAATAGGGATCATCTTCATAACAACATTGACACACAAAATAAAAATCAAAAGAATCCATAAAGAACTGTAGCCTGTAGAGTGAGCACGAGCCAAATGTGAACGGACGGACGGACCGACGGGGTGATTACAATATACGCCCATCTTACGTGTGGGCGTATAAAAATGGAAAGGATTATGAATTAACATACCCTCTGTAGATGCACCAAATTGAAAGGGACCATTTGAAACAGGTGCTGCAGTAGGTCCACCAAAGCTAAACACTTTCTTACTTGATGATTCATTTGTATCTGTAACACAATTAATAATTTGCTGTAAGCTTACAGGCATAAAGTTATCATTCAGTAAAAGCATTACAAAGATGAAAAGCTCCAAAATCTATACAATATTTGTATTTTAAGATAATTAACACTCACTGGCACCTTTGAATTAAAATAAAATATTTGGTAGTACAGTGCCAATCACCAGTAGAGAAATATTCAACCTTCAGTCCTATACTTCTTTTGAACTTTTTGGGGCAATAATGAATAATATTACGAAGTTTTGTTTACAAGTTAAAAATTGAAGCGTTTTCAAGAGCAGGGTCAGTAACTCCTATAAAACATTTTTTGATTTTGATTTTTAAAATGATTCATCAACGGGTGATAATAAACAATTTTGCCAAATTTCGTTAAATTCTGACAAGAATTGAGCCATTTAAAGAGTGTTTACGAGCTAAAAATTGAACACGTTTTCAAAAACAGAATCAAGCCTTCTAGAGTGATTACAAGCAATTGGAGACGGACTGATGGACATGGGTGACGACAATATATGCCCTCCCCCATTTCATGTGGGCGTATAAAAAGATGGTAGTCGATTCCATAAAAAAATCCAGTTTTTAGAGCGTTTACAAGCAAATGTTGACGGAAGGACGGACCGACAATATACGTCCACATAGAGAGATGTGGGTGTATAAAAACATGCCGGATATCGTAGAACATCAATTTTATTAAACATAGGTCGTAATAATTCTTATTCCATTTTTCCCATACCTCGTATTGCTGAATTTTTCACATTATTTCTATAACAAGATCACCTTTTGTCCTGTTAAAGTGAAACTTTCAGATAACATTTCTTAATTATTAAGTTCTAGGTTACCTAGTTTGGTGTTTTAGAAGTAATTTTACTACTCCATGAAAATGAATGTAAAACTTACCTTCCTCAATACTGTGTTTACCAGAACTACTTAATGTTGGAAACACTCCCAAGCCTGAATTACTATTAGCTGGAACACCACCTCCAAAAGTAAAGATACTACTGTCATCTGAAAAAATAAAATAAAGGAAGTGACATGGCTTTTTCTGTTAGTTTTAGGGGGCATTTCTCCCTTTGAATACAAATCCAGAGTATTTTTAAAAATTTGACTGATCAAGGCATCTTGAAATGCAGACAAACGATCAAATCAATAGAAATGAAGAGTTTGAGCAAAATAAACTTCAATATTAAAGGGACAGATGTGGCATTTGGGGAGTTGATTTCAGAAGTACTAGAAATGTACGAAAACCCCATAATATATCAAAGATTATCTTAAAATGACAAGTCGTCATTTAACATTCAAAGGTGGACAATTCTGGAATCACTAGGATTTGAACGCTCAAATTTCAATGGTGATCTGTGAACACTATTACTGAGTAGCTAAGCTAAATAATTCCTGTTTCTGAGACTGAAGTATGATTGGTTCAAAAAACAATGGCACACCTTTACCCTTAACAAGAACTATTATTATCAATTGTCATAGATATATTGGAATAAATTTTGTTACCTCCAATAGAATTAACTTTAGCTTGTTCAGGTTTACTAGCACCAAATGTAAACCCACCCACACTACCTATACCACTACCAGAGGGATTTGATTGCCCAAAACCAACTTTATTCTCACTCTTGGCTTTTTCCAAGTCATTATTGTTTGTTTCCTTAATTTTATTACAATCTCCAAACACAAACCCCCCAACTGATTTGCCATTGAGTTGTGAATTGTCATTGCTGGCTTTCACTACAGAATTAAACTGAATTCCTCCTTCAGATGAGTTCTTATTTTCTCCAAGTTTGGAAGAGTCTGATTGAGCACCAAAAGTAAAACCACCTGCAGCATTCACTTTTGAATTGTCTGTTTCTGATGATTTCACTGGATTTCCAAAGGTGAAACCAGTTCCTGAAGATTTGTCCTGATTAGTCACATTGAAACCACTTGTTGGTTTCACTTCTGCTGTAGTGTCCTTATTACCAGAACTAAAACCGGAACCTTGCTTAGATTCTGAAGAATCTTTTTTACCAAAGCTGAAACCAGAACCCTGTTTGGATTCTGTAGTTTCTTTATTACCAAAACTAAAACCAGAAGTGGTAGATTGTTCTGATGGTAATGTTGCACCACCAAACACACATTTACTGTCTGTTGTAGAGGCTCCGGGAAATTTGAAACCTCCGGTACTAGGAGTACTATCAGTACCTCCATCAAATTTTAAACCCCCTCCCACACTTGGTGCTGAAGATGATGTTCCAAATTTGAACCCAGAGGCACTAATTGCTGATGTATTATTTGATGCAAATTTAAATCCAGAAGTTGTAAGTTGACCTATTCCACTTGCAGTTTCTGTTGATAATCCTGATGATTTCAAACTTCCTCCTGAAGGATAGGAAAATATCAATCAAAACCCAACAATTATAATGTTGTGAATTTTAAACAGGTGTTGGAACTATCCCTATTATGGTCAGCACATGGCAAGCTTCACTGTTCTTTCACTCTTTCTGCTCCATATTTGAAATTGTGGTATATTTCCATCTCTAAACTGTGATTGCTCTGTCACAGAAAATAAATTTGACGGAAAATGTTCATGGCCTAGTCTAAACAATTTAGAATTTAAAAAGTTTCAAGGCAGAAATAACAGATCGCATGTACAATGTAGAATAAGATGTAAGTAGTAGAAGAAACCAACCTGTAGATTTAGAACCAGGTTTGGGAGTTTCACATGCAGCACATTTCTCCACATCTGGGTTATTTTGTACCATACATACATCACAATCCCAACTACCAGCTTTCTTAGCAAATAATGACGACAAACTATTGCTTTCTGTCCAAAATATAACATAAATAATATGTAGATTAAGACAACAAATGGGAGAACTCAGAATATACTTCGTAATATTGTTTATATAAAAAACCTTTTGAGAAATCTTCAAGGTAAATACATTACTTACGAGTTGAAGCTGGTTTTGCCCCAGGTTTGGGGGTTTCACAGGCAGCACATTTATCTGTATCAGGTTTATTTTGTACCATACATACATCACATGACCAAGTACCAGATTGTTGATTAAATAAACTAGATAATGATGGTTTCTCTGTATTACTGGCTGTTTTACTGCTTACAGATTTCTCAGAAGCTATTAATCTACCTAAGACAAAAGAAAAGTTGTATGCAATAAAAAATCAGAGAGTAGTCAAGCAAAGATATTTATACTCAGAGACTACTTGATAATAAAGTGGACTATTCAAGATATTTTGAATCAGCTCAAGTAAGTAGTAAGTAGAAGCTGACTCTGGACGTTTTGAAAGTTTGTACAATATTTATCCTCATACATATGCCATGAAACAGGCTTCAAAATCATAAAGAATACTATCATGCTTTAACATAAATAGTTTTATAAGTAAGGCCAAGGGAGATAAACAAAGTTTGTATAGAATTAGGAACACAATATCATATTTCAGATAATTTAACAAAACAACATACCTATTGGTTTAGAGCTTGGTTTGGGAGTTTCACAAGCTGCACATTTTGTTTTCTCTACATTATTTTCTATCATACAGGTATAACATGTCCAGGTACCAGCTGGTTTGGCAAATAACTGGGCCAGAGATACACCTGAAATAGAGGAGAGGAAAACCATTTACATAAATTCTAGACAAGACAATCATTATGCCATGTTTTGAACATATCAAATAAAAGTAACCTAATTTTGACCAAATTCAATTTATTCTAATAAGTATAATGGAGAAACAAAGTAAACAATTACTTCAACTTAAAGGTTGATATAAGTTAGTATGTATAACATAACATGTTCTTTGAAACTCTTACATAGATTAAGTTTGGAGCTAATTTATCATGACAATTTCTCACCTGATAGAGAGTCTGTTTTCTTGATGCTTGAATCTTCTGAAATGAAACATATCCATATTAAAATATGTATTTTTGTAAAGTTATGCTCCTAAATATTTAGACCTCATTTACTGTTCTGCACTAATATACTATACTTACAAGAATTTGAGAGTAATTTAGTAAATAAAATAAATGGTTAATATGGCTTACTTTTACAAAGAATATCCATAACACTGCCTTGTTTTAAAGGAGAAGGTGAAGTTGTTTTCTTCCCTAATACATCCATAACTGAACCTTTTTTTAATGAAGACTTGTTCCCACCTAATATGTCCATAACACTGCCTTGTTTTAAAGTACTAGCTGGTTGAAATCCACTGGCAGGTGATTTCTCATTAGTAGTAGATACTTTAGGCTTATAATCTAATCCAATACCTTAAAAAAATAATAATGTAATAATTGAGAAATTCCATTTTTGGTCGTGGAATATTTCACATTCAAGATAAAAGGTTAGACCAAAATGTCAGATAGGATGAAATACAATTCAGCTTTACATCAAAAATGATTGGTTTACTAAAATAATACTTTAATAATAGATTTAATATGCCATTTATTACATAGTAGTTATGTCCCTTGTACTAAAAAATAAATAGACAGACCTACCTCCATTACCTAACATAGATTTAGGTTTGGGAGCTGTAGAGGGTGTTGATGACACAAACGAGAAACCAACAGTGGATGATGTTTGTGAGGGTTTCATTATAGTATCATCATCAGCTTTTAATGGCGAACTGAAGGTGAAACCCTGGAAAACAGAAACCAGATTAGTTAGATAGAAAGAAATTATGGCATGAGCAGACTAAGGATTACTTATACACAATGTAATGATGTATTTAGCTTCATTCGATGATTCGACAAAGTTTTATATTTTATACCAAGTACTCAGTATTGAATTACTAGGTTTATCTAGTTTGAAGTTTTAAGAAAAGCAAGAATGTAACAATCCATCGAGTCCAAACCACACCCCCATTCTTCATACTTCCTTCCTGGGCCGTGGTAAGTGATAAAATTACATATTCATAGATAAATATTGTCCAAATCAAAATTGGCCCTACTGTATTGCTGGCAAATTTCAGCCACTCAAAATAAATCAATTGTTATGACACTTTGTTTGCGAATGTAAACATAACGAAAGCAGCATGCCATTACATATTTTGATGAATATGTACGGTACAGAATTGAGTAAGATTTTCGTTAAAGAACTGAAGCTGAGAGAATATTTACTTGGAAAGAATATGTTCTTATCTTTTCAAACGTGCGGCAGCAAAGCGGTGTTGTGTTTTGTTTACATCACCTCATTTCTGTCCTACTGATCTGATTTACATGCCACCAATCTCATTTCCACGCCCCCAAATCAAAGTGTAGTGGGCTTAGTTTAATACAGGTTAATAAGAGAAAGTCAAAACTAGTATTCATACGATGGTTACAATCTTAAACTGTGTTATTTGTGTGTACTTAATGTTTAATTTGAGTATTGGACTTACCTGTATCTTACCAACAGGTGATGTTACAGTCAGTGGTTTCTGTGGTTGATGTATAGGAGATGAGAATGTATATGTTAAATCTTGAGTACTTCCCACTATAGTTTTAGCTGTTAAATCATCAACTTTCCCTATAGGTGTCGCTGTAAACTGTATCTGAGGTAAATTACCCACAGGTAATGTAAAATCTGACTTTAAACTTGGAATTTCAACCTGAAGTCAAATCAAAGTAATATTCTTTTAGAACACAAGTTTCATTAATAAACAATACACCCTAATACACGATTATTGGATTCAATTTACAACTTCATTTTTTCACAATTTCATTTGATTCCATCAAAAAATCTAGTTTTTAGAGCGTTTACAAGGAAATGTTGACTGACGGACGGACGGACAGGGATGCCGACAATATACGTCCACATAGAGAGATGTGGGCGTATAAAAATGAGATAACTTACAACTTCATCCTCTATATCTTGTTTTTTACTTGAATAATGATGTGTTTTATCACGTTTAATTTTACCACTAGTTTTATTACTATAACTAATTGTAGGTGTTTCTGTATTAACTTCTAATCTACTCTTTGGCATATTTCTAAAAGCAAAATCAATTAAGTAATGCCAAAAGCAAACAATAATATCAAACTGCCTGAAATGATTAACTGTATTTCATCTCCTACTAAGAATATGAAAAGTACTTATATGATTCAAAATTTAAACTCACTTTGATATGGAACTTTTATCTGTTTTCATTGTATTATCTCCTTGAATTTCCTGTAATTAATTCAATATAAAATTCAAATAAAGCCCACATACAGCTGTTTCAAGAGTAATTCTACAGCAATTTTAACTCAAATTCAATTTGAAAGTTGTTACAAAATGTTTTTTTTGGTAATTTAGCATAGATTTAATTCTCCAATACAAATAATACTTGTGTACACATGGCTCCTCATGCCTTTTTATTAATGATTTTACCTGGATAGATTGTTTCTGTATAGATGTGGTTCTACTAGATATAGGGGTTGATGTCTGTCTATTACGTGATATAGAGGCTATAGAATGTGTTCTAATTTGACTAGTTGGTGGACCACTTCTTGAGGGAACCTGAAATTCAATTAAACATTGTCATTACCTTTACCAGAAGTTCATTCACAATGCATTTCACTCTCCAAAATGACATTTATGAAACTGAATTGACAATCAATTCTAAATAGTTAGATCAGATTCTCCAAATAGTAAAAGCTGTGTCAATGACAGAAATTCTTTCTCTTTGATATTTGTCAACTCAAGTTTCTTAAACAACACAAATTTAACGAACTTACTTCTAGAGATCTTCGAGATAACAAGGAAGGTTGGAAAGATTGTCTTCTGTAACTTGAAGGCTGAAAAATAATATTTCTATATGACAATCTGTTTCAGAAATCTTGATGTGTTATTGAATGCCGCCTATTCAGTATCCAAGCCAAATGAAGATCTATGGAACAAGAATCAACCAACTAATTGATAACTTCACCACAAAGCCTTATTAGGGCTGCATTAGGCAGGCTTTATTGATGTTTGATTTAGATTTAAAATAGGACCTCTAAAAAGTACAAGTACTAAAACTGAACTCACTGTGAATGATAATAATGAATCTGCGACTGAGGGGTTCTCCATTGGAATCTTTTTAACATCCTATAAATATATTAACATCATACATAATATACCAGTTTCACATTTTAAAAGCACCTTGACGGAAATGAGGTAAACACTTTCATGTATTGAGCCACATAAATGATTTGAATGCATTGACATAATATCAAAGAACTTACAGAAAGTGGTGTGGACATTCTTTCCAAGGACTCTAATATTCTCCTAGCTGAAGAACTTGTTACTGCACTAAAAGAACTATTAGCTAACTTTGGCTTCATCTGTTTTCTGATTGGTAGTGAAGTCTAAATAAAGAAAATAAATAAAATATAATAGATACAGCAATATTGACCAAATAATATACAGTGAAGTCAATTATTTTCATAGGCAACAAATATCAGCATGCAAGAAATTAAGACCCAAGAGATATGGATAATGAAATAAATATATATGTTTCAAATTTAATGTGTATATTTTTCCTGTGTATCTATTATTGTAATTAACCATTATCTCAAGGCTTAAAATAACTCCAGAAATTGGGCCGATTCAATTTGTGTCGGACATTTGAAATTTTGGATCGGACATAAAAAATATGGAATTTTCAATTGAAAAATTGCATTTAAAACCCATCAATTAAGGACTGAAACTCGCCCTTTTCTTTACTGCAAGTGCTAAGAGTAGTTAATGTAATTCAAATAAGCCACAGAGATTATTTATATTCCCTGGTGACTCTCCGGGAACGATAAACCGACTCAGTGTATATCTTTGTATCAAATTCTTATGTAATATTTGAAATAAAAGTATCAACGAATCATGATTATAATATATAGTATCATATGAAAGATCATCTCATGTTCATATAAAGTAATCATAGAATTAACATTACTAAAAGATTCGGATAAACGACTTGAACTAATTGTATACCGTTCATTCTTGTTTTGACTTTATCATCCAGACCTTGCATGTCCTCTCTCTAGGTGCTAGTTTTATCTGGATGATCTAGACTATTGTATTGTTGTTCCGAACTTTTTAGCTTTGCATTTTTCTATTATAACAAGATCTTTGTATCAAGAAAAACAATATTTTTTCATAGATTTGGTACCGAACAAAAATGTCTGGCTCAATCGATATTGTACCGGACATTTGTTGAATTTGTACCTGACAATGTCTGTGTTCGGACGCTTATTTCAAGCCTTGCATTACCTGATATGGTGCTGTAACATTTAATCTATTTCTATTACGTAACGCTGAATTGCCACCAAATGTTGTTTTGCCAGAATAAAATGAGGATTCATTTAATGTATCATCTCCTAGTAAGCTTGTCTCCTAGAAAAATAATTAGTTTGTTAAAGGACAATACTCCATGTTGTCGTAACTAGACCCCAGGGTAGGAAACAGCTACAACACTAAACTGCCAGTAGCTAGAAACTGTCAAGGTTTGCTATAATGATTTCTTTCCCTAGGGGGATAATATGTCTGAATTCAACATCATATGGTTTTTTAACAAGCTGAACAAGAACACTGTCTGGATATAAAAGAAAAAGTTTTTGTGTCGCACAACCTTTCATTATGGA